TAGATAGATAGATCGATCGATAAATAGATAGATAGATAGATAGACAGATAGATAGATAGAGTGAGAGAGAGAAAAGAGAGAGAGAGAGAGAAAGAGAGAAAGAGAAAGAGAGAGAGAGAGAGAGAGAGATAGGATGGGCATGGGATGGGAGTATTCTACATTGACCACAATTTCCTCCTTCAGCTTACGGCCTGAAAATCGGCCAGAACCTGGCGGCTGGACATGGCAACTGGAGACAGGCCATGAGCAACTGGTACGACGAGGTGGCCGACTACCGCTACGGAGAGAACGTCAACGACTATCTGGGCCCCGACGGATTCTTCAAGATTGGACATTACACTCAGGTCAGTCTTCTTTGTTTTGTTTGATAAAATATTTATTTGTATAAACTTAAAACACCACCACCACTACCACCACCAACAACAACAACAACAACAATAACAACAAAAAGAAACCACTGAAATATTAATAATAATAAATGGCATTTGTATTGCACAAGAGGGGCAGACCCAAAGTGACCTGGAGACGCACAGTAGAGTATGAAATGAAGTCCTGGAACCATTCGAGGGCGACGTTGACTAAGATGGCCCAAAACAGACAGAGCTGGAGATCCTTTGTTGCTGCCCTAAACGCCAGATGGCGTAACGGGTAGTAAGTAAGTAAGTATTGCGCAATTCATCTCTCAACAGCAAACTCTATGAGCTTCACAATCTATATTATTACCCCAGCAGACCTGAGCAAAAGCATTTTACTTCATGAAGTGTTGTTTTCTCCAGATCGACTTGTATTGTCTATCCAAGATTCACACACAAGGCAACGACAGAAGCACCACCCGCAGTGAGGAACGAGACTAAAAGACAACCCAAAACAGCAAAATCAGACGCTTGCAGTGGATCTTCTGCCCTGAACATGTTGGAGTCAAGGGAAATGAAAGAGTAGATAAACTAGCAGGCTCCGCAAATATAGAGGGAGTGCTTATCCTTAATCCTCCAACTGTAATAACCCTTGTCCGAGATAACCTAGCCAGCAACCGTGAAGAGGACTCCTTCACGAAGGATGTCAGTGGCGGTGGGTAGTGAAGGGTTCACAGGCTTGAGCCCCTACCCCCTCCCCAACCACCATCCCCAACTCTATCCCAAAGTAAATGAAAGTTTCTCTATAATGAAATAAGCAGTTGAAACCGTAATGACCGCACGCAATGAACACAGAGTGATCAACCTGGCGGCTTGCTCGCTTAACCAATCACTGTTGTCCCCGCTTACAACTATAGTAACCCAGCAGCCAATCAAATGTCTTTAGGGCTCAGCAAAGCACTTTCCCCTACTGACACAGATACCTATGCGCTCATTGGTTCTTTGTTGGGTGCGTTCAACTTTCTCGACTACACGGCCTAATCCA